TGAAATTAATTGCGCTGTTAATATCATTGTAGTTGACAGATCGTTTGAAAGAAGGTGGTCTTGGTGGTGGCTTCGAAAACTTAATTTCTGGTGTAAAAAATTTACTTCCAACACGAAAAGATTTGACTCTGACGAAAATAGTAGAATCAATAATGGAACCAACCTCCAGTGGTGCAAATGAAACAGATGATTATATTTATTTTGATCCAAAGATGGCACGAAGTTCTAATGTTAATAAGCAATCAAGAAATAGAATTGCTTTCCAAGAAGGAATTGTATTTGTTGTTGGCGGTGGAAATTACATTGAATACCAGAATTTGCAAGAGTATGCACAGGTAAAGTTGATGAATTTCTATATATCTATAATTATATAGTTATATATCTTATTTTAATTCATTTTTAGCGCCAAACTATCAAGAAGAAAATTATCTATGGTTCTACGCAGATATTAAATCCTCATACATTTTTACAAGAACTAGCAAAGCAGCTTCATATTCAACCATATCTTCTTTAGTAATTTCGTCAACAGACAAATAGTAAATAATAAAAAATCGTAGTTTATCTTCTGGAGACTTTTTCTCAGGATCTCGGATAGCCTCTAAAACAGTGGTTTTATTCTGCCGTGTGATAGATTCTTCTATTTGAAAAAAAGTATCTAATTGACGATCTTTAATTCCCCGTAATAGAGACGTAGCGATGTTCATATGCATATCGAGAGTTTGTTTTCGAGCAGTAAGTTCTGGTAGTGCAGTAATAGCCGATTTCAAATGTTGAGTATTTTGGGAGAAATCTACTTGATCCACATCATCTAGTGAATTTACCCCACTAAGTCTTGTTATCTCAGCAGCATCGAATTTATAACGATTAAGTTCCACATCAATATCTTCAGCCACTTGAGGAAATGGACTTGAAGCATTTTTAGCCCAAAAAAAGTCTTTACTATCTAAGTCATAACTTTTTTTGATAACACGACCCATTTCATCAGTTTCTATTACGATTCTATTTAAATGCATATCCAATACATCATGAATCAAGGCTTGATAAGTCCAAGAATGACTTAACATTGGAACTAGATCAATATTTCTATCTAGAATTAATAATACGGGCCTTTGAAAGTTTAAAGAAGCGGAACTTTCAGAAAATAAATTATTTCGAGAATTTAATATATGATCACGTAATCGACTATCAAGCTTTTGAGCAATCATTTCAGCAGCATTTCCTCGAGGACAACGAATGATTGGTACAACGCCCATAGTCACTAATACGGAAAATAAAGAACTAACAGTACGATCTATGGCATTCTCTATAGCAGTTTCCGCAGCAGTAGGATCATTCAGTGAATAATAAATGTTGGGTTGATTGAGTGAAAATAGATTAGGTTCCGAAACGATAAAATTCAAATATTGATCGTAGACCTGAGAGATCAAATTTGAAGTGTTATTTGGTATAGTAGCAGCAGCCAATTCTTCTAATAATGGCCTTGTAATAGTAGTCAAAAAATTAATATAATACGATTCGTAAAGGTTCTTGGCCAAATCCTACGTGTTTAATAATGATAAGAATAAGCAGGATGAGTGATACATTGATTTGGGAATAGTTTAATAGAATAAATCTACCTCACTGATCCTCTGAATGTTTTCAGATGTCGGCTCTACGAAATAAATAGCGGGAACATCAGCAATCGCATGTCTTTCACTTCTCAATAACCTAAAAATAATGAACAGGCTAAAT